AAAGTAAAATTATTCAAAGTAACAAATTGATAAGAATCAGGGAGATTCACTGTCAAGTTTGATTTACACAACTCCCATGAGGTTAAATTACTGCAACGTAACATGCAAAAGTTATTTAAAAGTAATGAATAAAAACGGGTATGAGTATCTTAGAATACTAGGCATTGTACTATTTTTATAGTACATTCATTTGGGAGGGTTAGTATTCTTTTAGGATTCCTTGCACATATGCATGAATACTCACTTAAACAAAATACATTTTTATGATGTCTTTAAGAATCTTCCTTAACTGGTTATCTGGCCTACAGACAGCCAAATTGGAAAGAAATTAGACTGTAACAAAATGTGGTGTGATGAGAATTAACAGGAACTTTGTTCATGTACTAGACATATTGTGTTTATTTTATTGAAGTATAGTCAGTTCCTATGTGTCAATTTCTGGTGTACAGCCTAATGTCCTAGTCGTGCATATATATACATATATTCATTTTCATATTCTTTTTCATTAAAGGTTATTACAAGATATTGAATATGGTTCCTTGTGCTATTCAGAAGAAATTTTTTTTTTCATATATAGTGGTTATCATTTGCATATCTCAAACTCCCAAGTTTATCCCTTCCCACCACTTTCCCCTGGTAACCATAACATTGTTTACTATGTCTGCAAGTCTGTTTCTGTTTTGTACAAGAGTTCATTAGTGTCCTCTTTTTCCTTTTTCTTCTATTTTTTTTTTTTTTTAGATTCCACTTATAAGTGATATATGGCATTTTTCTTTCTCTTTCTGGCTCACTTCACTTAGAATGATGATCTCCAGGTCCATCCAAGTAGCTACAAATGGCATTATTTTATTTTTTATGGCTGAGTAGTATTCCATTGTATAAATATACAACAGCTTCTTTATCCAGTAAGCTGTCAGTGGACATTTATGTTGCTTCCATGTTTTGGCTATTGTATATAGTGCTGCTATGAACACTGGGGTGCATACATCTTTTTGAAGTAAGGTTCCCTCTGGATATATGCTCAGGAGTGGGATTGCTGGAACATATGGTAAGTCTATTTTTAGTTTTTTGAGGAATCTCAGTACTGTTTTCCATAATGGCTACATCAAACTACATTCCCACCAGCAGTGTAGGAGGGTTCCCTTTTCTCTACACCTTCTCCAGCATTTATCATTTGTGGACTTTTGAATGATGGCCATTCTGACTGGTGTGAGGTGATACCTCATTGTAATTTTGATTTGCATTTCTTTGATAATTAGTGATACTGAACATCTTTTTCATGGGCCTGTTGGCCATTTGTATGTCTTCATTGGAAAATTGCTTATTTAGGTCTTCTGCCCATTTTTGGATTGGGTTGTTTATTTTTTGTTGTTAAGTTGTATGAGCTGTTTATATATTCTGGAAATTATGCCCTTGTCAGTTTCATCATTTGCAAATATTTTCTCCCATTCTGTAGGTTGTCTTTCTGTTTTGCTTATGGTTTCCTTTGCTGTGCAAAAGCTTATAAGTTTAATGAGGTCCCATTTGTTTATTTTTGTTTTTATTTCTATTGCTTAGGTAGACTGCCCTAGGAGAACATTGCTGAGATTTATGTCATAATGTTTTGCCTGTGTTTTCTTCTAGGTTTATAATGTCTTATCTTACATTTTTTAGAGTTTATTTTTGTGTATGGTGTCAAGGAGTGTTCTAGCTTCATTGATTTATATGCTGCTGTCCAATTTTCCCCACACCACTTGCTGAAGACACTCTTTTCTCCATTGTATAGTCTTGCCTCCTTGGACGAAGATTAATTGACTGTAGGTCTGTGGGTTTATTTCTGGGCTCTCTATTCTGGTGCACTGATCCATGTCTATTTTTGTGCCAATACCACATTGTTTTTATAACTGTATCTCTGTAGTATCATCTGAAGTTTGAGAGGGTTAATCCTCCAGGTTTGTTCTTTTTCTTCAGAATTGTTTTGGCTATTATGGGTCTTTTGTGACTCCATATAAATTTTAGGATTATTTGTTCTAGTTATGCGAAAAACATCACAGGTAATTTGATAGGGATTACATTAAATTTATAGATTGCCTTGGGCAGTATGGCCATTTTAACAATAGTGATTCTTCCAATCCAAGAGCATGGAATAGCTTTCCATTTCTTTAAGTCATCTTTAATTTCCTTAATGTTTTATATTTCATCATGTGTAAGTATTTCACCTCCTTGGTCAGATTTATTCCTAAGTATGTTATTGTTTGGGATGTGATTTTGAAAGGGATTGTTTCTTTACTTTCTTTTCCTCCAATTTCATTGTTAGTGTAAAGAAATGCAACTGATTTCTGCATGTTAATCTTGTATCCTGCTACCGAGCCAAATTCTTTTATCTGCTCTAGTATTTTTTTGTGTGGAGCCTTTAGGGTTTTCTACATGTAGTATCATGTCATCTGCATATAGTAACAATTTTACCTCTTTTAATTTGGATTGCTTTTACTTCTTGCCTGATTGCTGTGGCTAGGACCTCCAAAACTATGTTGAATAGAAGCAGTGAGAGTGGGCATCCTTGTCTTGTTCCAAATTTCAGTGGGAAGGCAATCAGTTTCTCACCATTAAGTATTACGCTGGCTGTAGGTTTGTCATAAATAGCTTTTATTATGTTGTGATGTGTTCCCTCTGTACTAACTTTGGTAAGAGTTTTTTTTTAAATCATAAATGGATGTTGAATATAATCAAATGTTTTTTCTGTATCTATTGAGATGATCGTGTGGTGTTTGTCCTTTGTTTTATTGGTATGGTGTATCACTTTATTTGCAATACGTTGAACCATTTTTGTGACCCTGGGATGAATCCAGTTTGATTGCAATGTATGATCATTTTTATGTGTTGTAGCATTTGGTTTGCTAACATTTTGCTGAGAATTTATGTATCTGTATTCATCAAAGGTAATGGCCTGTAATTTTCCTTTTCTGGTAGTGTCTTTGTGTGGTTTTAGTATAAGGGTGATTGTGGCTTCATATAATGACTTTGGGAATGTTTCCTCCCCTTCAATCTTTTGGAAGAGTTGGAGAAGGATCGGCTTAAGTTCTTTACGTGTTTGGTAAAATTCCTTAGTGAAGCCATTTGGTCCTGGAATTTTATTTGCACGGAGTTTATTATTATTATTACAGATTCTATTTCACACCTAGTGATAGATCTATTCAAATTTTCTTCTTGAGTTTTGAGGGGCTGTATGTTTCTAGAAACTTGTCCATTTTTCTAGGTTGTCCAATTTGTTGGCATGTTAATTGTTCATAGTTTTCTCTAATGGTTTTCTGTGTTTCTGGATTATTGGTTATTTCTACTCTTTCATTTATTTGGGCCCTCTTTTCTTCTTGGTGAGCCTGGCCACAGGTTTACCAAATGAGTTTACCCTTTCAAAAACCAGCTCTTGGTTTTATTGATTTCTTTTCTACAGTTTTTTAAATCTCTATGCATTTCCTGTCTGATCTTTATTATTTCTTTCCTTCTGCAGATGTTATACGTTTCATTGGTTCTTTTTTTAATTCTTATAAATGGTAGGTTGGGTTGTTAGAGATTTTTTCTTACTTTTGGAGGAAGCCTGTTTGTTACTATGAACTTCCCTCTTTGGACTGTTTTTGAGCATCCCATAGATTTTGTGTGGTTGTATTTTCATTGTCATTTGTCTCATGGTGTGTATATATATATATATATTTTCAATTGAAGTATATTCAGTTTACAGTGTATCAATTTCTGGTGTACAGCACAATACTTCAGTCATATAGGACATACATATGTTCATTTTCATATTCTTTTTCACCATAAGTTACTACAAGATATTGACTATATAGTTCCTTGTGCTATACAGTATAAAATTGTTGTTTATCTATTTTTATATATTAGTTAATATCTGCAAATCTCAAACTCCCAATTTATCCCTTCCCACACCCTTCCTCCCCTGGTAACCATAAGTTTGTTTTCTATGTGACTCTGTTTCTGTTTTGTAAATAAGTTCATTTCTTTTTCTTTTTTTGATTCCACATATAAGTGATATCATAGGGCATTTTTCTTTCTCTTTCTGGTTTACTTCACTTAGAATAACAATGTCTAGGTCTATCCATGTTGCCGCAAATGGCATTGTTTTACTCTTTTTATGGCTGAGTAGTATTCCATTGTATAAATACACAACAGCTTCTTTATCTAGTCATCTATTGATGGACATTTAAGTTGTTTCCATGTCTTGGCTATTGTAAATAGTGCTGCTGTGAACATTGGGGGGGGGGTGCACGTGTCTTTTTGAATTAAGTTTCCCTCTGGATATATGCTCAGGAGTGGGATTGCTGGGTCATATTGTAAGTCTGTTTTCAGTCTTTTGAGGAATCTCCACATTGTTTCCCACAATGGCTGCAACCAAACTGCATTCCCACCAACAGTGTAGGAGTGTTCCCTTTCTCCACAGCCTCTCCAGCATTTGTCATTTATGGACTTTTGAATGATGGCCATTCTGACTGGTGTGAGGTGATATCTCATTGTAGTTTTGATTTGCATTTCTCTGATAATTAGTGATACTGAGCATTTTTTCATGGGCCTATTGGCCATTTGTGTGTCTTCATTGGAAAATTGCTTGTTTAGGTCTTCTGCCCATTTTTGGATTGGGTTTTTTGTTAAGTTGTATGAGCTGTTTATATATTTTGGAAATTACACCCTTGTCAGTCTCATCTTTTGCAAACATTTTTTCCCATTCCGTAGGTTGTCTTTTTGTTTTGCTTATGGTTTCCTTTGCTGTGCAAAAGCTTACAAGTTTAACTAGGTCCCACGTGTTTATTTTTGCTTTTATTTCTATTGCTTGGGTAGACTGGTGTAGGAGAACATTGGTGAGATGTATGTGAGATAATATTTTGCCTATGTTTTCTTCTTAGAGGTTTATAGTGTCTTGTCTATGAAGTCTTTAAGCCATTTTGAGTTTATTTTTGTGTATGGTGTCAGGGAGTGTTCTAACTTCATTGATTTACATGCAGCTGTCTAATTTTCCCAACACCATTTGCTCAAGACAGTGTCTCAAGCTATTTTTTAATTTCCTCTTTGAGTTCATCAACCCACTGTTTTTTTTCATAGCATGTTTTTTAGTCTCCATATAATCTTCTTTTCTCATTTCCAGTTGATTTTAATTTCACACTATTGTGGTCAGAAAAGATGCTTGAAATAATTTCTATCTTTCTTGAGCCTTGTTTTTTGCTCTCTTCTGTGGTATATCTCAAAGAATGTTCCATGTACACGTGAAAAGAATGTGTATTCTGGGTTTGTTGATTGATTGATTGATGTAATGTCCTGAAAATATCATCTAACTTTTGTGTCATTTACAATCTGTTGCATTATTGATTTTCTGTCTGGAAGATCTGTCCATTGATGTGACTGGGGTATTAAAGTCTCCTACTATTATTGTATTCCTATCAATTTCTCCCTTTATGTCTGTTGCTATTTGTTTTATATATTTAGATGTTCCTATAGTGGGTGCATATATGTTGACTATATCCTCTTCTTGTATTGATCCTTTCTTTGTATAGTGTCCTTCTTTATCTTTATTTAAAGAAATAAAATAAGACCTTTGTTTAAAGTCTATCATGTATGAGAATTGCTACCCCTGCTTTCTTGTCATTTCTGTATGCGTGAAATATCTTTTTCCATCCCCTTTCAGTCTATGTGTGTCCTTCACACTAAAGTGGGTCTCTTCTAGGCAGCAATATTGTAGGCACTTGTTTTGTTATCCCCTCTGCCACTGTTTTTGGATTGGAGCATTTAGTCTATTGACATTTAAGGTAATGATTGGCAAATGTGTATTTATTGCCATTTTTTAATTGAAAATTTATATAGTCAGTTACAATATGTCAATTCCTGGTGTTCAGCATAATGTCCTAGATATGCATATATATATATACATATTTTCATATTCTTTATCATTAAAAGTTATTACAGGGAGTTAACTGAACGTAGCTAGAGTTTTTAGGTTGCAGTACCAGAAAGGAGAGAGCTGCAGCAAAAGATAACTCTGGAGATATACATGAGGGCCCCTTTGAGTATTCAGATGAGTACTGAGCAACACTCATGGATACAAAACTACCTGAGATCAGAGAATGAATGGACTGAAAGGTTAAGGGTGGTCAGAGGGAGCAGTATCTAGAGCTCACACAAGGCCACACATAGTGCCTGTGCACTGACTGGAAAGTGGGTCACTGAATTACTTAGATTATTTAGTAGTGTCTTAACTGAGTAATGAGGAATTAGCTCTAGACTAAATGAGTAAAAAGTAGACTGTGATAAGTGAAAAATTATACTATATACTGTAAATGCTAAAGCAGTGCTAAAATAAAACAGATCTAGTTAAGAAGCCAACACAGGAGATAATGCAGAATCATAAAAATGTTCAATTAATGTAAAAGAGCACAGAAAAAGAGGGACTATGTAACAAAGAACAAGATGATAGCTTTAAACCTAATCATATCAATGATCACATTAACTGTCTAAATACCTCAATTTAAAAACAAATTGTCCAACTTTATACTGCCTACGAGAAACCCACATTAAATATAATGATACAAGTAGATTAAAAATAAAAGCATGGAAAAAGATATACAATGCTAACACTAATTAAAAGAAAACTAGAAGGACAATATTAATATCAGATAAAGTAGATTTCAAAGCAAAGAATATTACAAGGGATAAAAAGTCATTTTATAATGAAAAAATGTCAATTTATCAAAAGTAAACAGTAATCCTAAATTTTTATGCTCTTAATAACAAAATTTCAAAATACATAAACAAGGAGAAGCAGATAAATTCACATTTTTAGTTGCAGATTTCAAGACCCATCTCTCCATATTTGATGGAACAAGAGAAGTAATCATTAAGGATACAGAAGGTGAGAAAACCACATCTATTATTTGACATTGATAGAAAACCAACTATACAACAACAGTAGAATAGACATCCTTTTTAACTGCATATGGCTACCAAGACAGGCAATATTCTGGGCCATAAAACAAGTGCTAACACATTTCAGAGGATTCATTTACCTCAACAGAATTAACTTAGAAATCAACAAGAACGATATCTGAAAAGTGCCCAATTTTTGGAAATAAAATAGTACTTCTAAGTAACCCATAAGCCAAAGAAAGAAAATCAAAAGAAAAATTAGAAAGTATGTTAAAGTGAATTAAAATGAAAATGCAACATATCAAAATTAGTAGGATGCCACTCTGTAGTACTACTTGAAGGGAAAGTTATAGTACTAAATGCCTATAGAATTAAAAAAAGATCTTTACTTTAAATCTAGAGTAATAAAAATTGGCATAAAGGTAGATTTAAAATGTCAGTGGAACAGAGTCCAGAATTGGACCCACACATATTTAGACACCTGATTTTCAGTAAAGATGAAAGGAGAAAGAATAGTATATTCAACAAATGGTACTAGAACAATCACTTGAACACACAGACAAGAACTTCAGTACATACCCAAACCATAATTCAGAAATTAACTCCAAATGGATTATAGAGCTAAATGCAAAACCTGAGGTTGTAAAACTTTTAGAAGTTAATATAGGAGAAAATCCTTGAGCTCTTGAGTTAGGCAAAGATTTCTTAGGTGTGATACTAAAAGCAGTTCATAATGGAAAAAAATGATAAGGTGAACTTCATCAAAATTAGTAACTTCTGATTTTTAAAAAATTCTTGAGAGATTAAAATGGCAAGCCACAAGCTGGAAAAAAAATGTGAAAATATTTATATCCTGAATATGTAAAGAGCTCTCAAAACTCCATGATAGGAAAGCAAACAACTCAATAGAAATGAGCAGAAGATGTGGACAGATACTTTAGCAAAGAATATATCTGGATGGTAAATATGCACATGAAAAGATGTTCAGCATCATTAGTCATTAGGGAAGTTCAAATTAAACCACAATGAGATATCATTGAATATCTATTAGAAAGGCAAACATTTAAGAAGACTTATACCAAATATTGCAGAGAATATTGCTGGCAGGAATGTAAAATGGTACAATTACTTTGGAAAATTCTTAGAAGTTTCTTAAGCTAAACATTACCTACCATATTATCCAGCCATTCCACCCTAGGTGTGTACTCAGAGAAAATGAAATATATGTCCATATAAAGACTTGTACCAAAATCTTCATAGCAGCTTTACTTGTAATAGCCAAAATATGGAAGCGGCCCAGATGCCCATCAGCAGATGAATAGATGAATTGTTGTCTGTCTATACAGTAGAGTATTATTTAGCAATAAGAAGGAATTATCTAGTGATACTTGCAGCAAGCTAAATCTCAAACTAATTATGCTGGGTGAAAAAAGCCAGACAAAAAGTGTGCACTCTGAAACAGAGGCTAGGAATGTGCAGGCTTACCTTATAAGATGGAGGGTTCTCCACATGCTGCCAAGGATAATTGGATACTGGATAGGTAAGAGGAAGAATAGCCAACATCCAGGGATACCCATAGACTTACTCTCAATGTCCCAGTGTCCTTAGCTAAGAAGGGGGTATTTAAGATTTCTGTGACAATCAAATGAGATCATATATGTGGAAACACTTTACAATTTTCAGTATAACATAAACGTTATTTTTTAAAACCCATAAAACTTTGGAACTGAACCTTTTTGGGGGCCAACTACAGGCTTTTTAAAGGAGTAAGTAAGAGTTAAATGGCTGAGGGAAAAGGCTCAGTGAACAAGCAGTAGGAGACTCTAGAAGAGGCAGGGCTAGATAGCAGGTTGTGAAACAACCCGCAGAGGGCCCAAAAGAGGGGAAGGACAGGGAAAGCTGACTCCCTGAAGGACATCCTTCTAAAGGTATTTCTGTTGCTTTAAAATAGGATAAAGATGGGTGTCTTAGCAAAAGCATTACAGTTAATACATTCATACACTTTGAAATCTGGTACATGCCTATTATAAATTAAGTAAAATTTTAAAAAGTTATTACAAGATATTGAATTTAGTTAGTTGAACAGAAATTTTTTATATATATATATATATATAGTGGTTAGTATTTGCAAATCTCAAACTCCCAAATTTATCCCTTCCCACTCCCTTTCCCCCAGTAACCATAAGATTAAACCTTACCAGTTGACTTTGTTTCTTCTTTGTTCCTTTCCTTTTCCTTTTGTGGTTTGATGGTTTTCTTTTGTGTTGTGCTGGAATTTTTTCTTTTTTGTGAATCTATTGTATGTTTTTTGTGGTTACCCTGTTTTTCAAGTATGTTCACCCATTACTGTATCTAAAAAAAAAAAATTCTACATTTTAAAATTCCCCTCCCCCACACTTTGATTTGATGTCTTCTCTTACATCTTCATGTTTAAGCCTTTGTTGTTCATTGTAGTTATCATTGCTTTCAGAAAAATTTGTTTTTAATCTATGTACTGTCTTATTTAAGTGATTTACTTGGCAATTGTCATTTCCTCTTTCCTATAGATTTCTTGCTTCTTTTCTTTTTGGAGAAAACCTTTCATTCTTTCTTTTAGGATGGGTTTACTATTGCTGTGTTCTTTTCTTCTTTGCTTGTCTGAGAAATTCTCTCTATTGTTCATGATAATCTTGCTGGGTAGAGTATCCTATGTGGCTGGTTTTTCCCTGCTAGGACGTTGAATCACCTTGCCCTCCCTCCTGGCCTGCAATAGTTCTGTAGAGCAATCAGCTGATAGCCTTATGGGGGTTCCCTTGTGACTGAGTGTTTTTTTTTTTTCTTGCTGCCTTTAGTATCCTGTTTAACTTCTGCTATTTTAATTAATGTCTTAGTGTAGGTCTATTTGGGTTTATCTTGTTTGAGACCCTCTATACATCCTGTGTGTATATATATGATTCCTTTTTTATGTGTAGGTTGGCTTAGTTCATGTTGGTCCATGGGCTTCATATATTGCTTTTTAAAAAATCTGTCCCCTGTTCTGTTTTATTTCCATTATTCCATCTTCTAAACCATTTATTCATTCTTTTGCATTATTTAGATTGCTATTTATTACCTTTAGCTTGGCTGTGGTCTCAGTAAGTGGGTTCTGCATTTCTATTGATAGCCTTTTTAAATTTCTTCAGTATCTTCATGACCTGCTTTTTGAACTTGGGATCTGGTAGACTGGAGAGGTCCGTTTTCACTGTTCTTCCCAGGGGTTTCACTTGTTCTTGTATTTGGGAGTGGTGTCTCTGCTTCTTCATTTTACTTAAGTTTCTCTGACCCTATGAATTTAGGAGAAAGTTATCTAGTGTGGTCTTGAAGAGCTGTTTTTATGTGGAAGTGTCCCAGTGTAGGCTCTAAGTCCAATATTTTTGGTGCAAGGTCTGTTTTTAGTATGGATGCCTGCCTCATCTTTCCTCAGTGTGCTGGCTATTATCCCCATGATGGGAATGTAAGTGGTGTTGTGGTGACCAGATTCTGCACGGGATGTTGAGTGGGTCCTCTTTTCTCTCTGGTTGTCACTGTTGGGGGCAGGGTCTGCTCCCCAGTTGCTGGAAAACAAGCCCCAAAGTCCATTACTGAGCTCTATTGTGAGGTTGTCAGGACTAGGGTACTTCTGCCTGGAGAGAAGGTAGCTGCTGAGTGTTCCTCTGCAGGAGCTGTGCATCGGGAAGTCCACTCTGTGATGTCACCTGTCGTGCGTGTTCAAAGTACCCAGTTGTTGACTCTGCCCTTGCCCCCATTTTAGCTGTAGGAATGCAGGCAGTCAGCCCAGATGTCCATCAGGTGCTGTGTTCACAAAGCTCCCAGCATAGGCCCACAAGCACAGAGCCATCAAAGTCAAGCACCAGGACCCACCAGTCACACACTTGGGAGCCAGGGAAGCAACCCAGACCCTGGCCACACCTCTTGTGCAGGCACCCACAATGCCCGCAGCTGCCAGTGCTGGACCTGCCCCAGCCTCGGGAGCACTAATAATCTGCTTAGATGTCCTACAGGTGCTGAGCTTACAAAGATGCTGCCAAAGTCACACAACTTGCAGGACCATGGCTCAGATTTCAGTTCAACTTCCAAAGTAATATGCACCCTGAGATCAGCTCCGACTTCAGCCCTGCCTCCCAAGGTGTGTAAGAGACTGGGGCTTGCATGCTCCCAGTGCTTGCACAGGCAGAGCAGAGTGTCTGCTATAAGCATGACAAGAATGAGGCTGCTGTGGCGGGTCCCACACTTCCCTTCCTGCCTGTGTTACACAATGGGGCTTCAACAGCAGATCCAAGCTCCATCCTGCACACAACCACAGCTGTAGCCAGAACCACTCCAGCCCCTTCAGGCTACCTTCACACAGCCAACAGGAGCCCTCTCCCCAGGTCTGTCCGCTATAGCCTAAGCTTTGCCACCCAGCCCCTGCACTCACCAGCAAGGTGGCCAGGACTCTCTGAGCTGGTCTCTTTTACCTGCCACAAGCCAGTTGCTGTATTCTCCTCTGAGGCTTTGAAGCTCCCTTTCTGTCCTGGATCATCTCCCAGCCAGTGAATGGGGTTGCCAGCACGAGGGAACCTTTCTTTCACAGCTCCTTCCCAGGGGCTCAGGTCCAGTCTCGATTCCTTTATTTTTCTTTTGTCCTGCCTGGTTATGAGGTGTTCTTTCCTGCAGCTTTCGTTATATGAGATCTTCTGCCAGTGTTCAGTATTCTGTGATAATTGTTCCACATGCTAATGTATTTCTGATGAGTTTGTAGGAGGTGAGCTCCACTACCTTCTATTCTCCCATCTTGATCTCTCTTCTTTGAGCATCTTTTTTAGTAAGAAGAGCCAGTGACACTGAGTTGAACATTAAGTGAATTTTTCATGAATTACCCACGAGGAATGCCCAAAGGAGTCAGAAGGTATGCAGAGTTATTCATTATTTTTCAATTTTTTTGTCACGGTACAGTATTTTAAAACAGTGATTTGTATATTTTTAAAAAGAAATATTCTTTTTGAGTGACTAAGGAATAGTTTTTAAACATGACCAAAGTTTTCTCAGTTTCCCAAAGTGGAAACCTGAGCTTACTTTTGAAGACCATGATGCACAAAATAGCTAAAAACTAACAAAAGTTAGCAATAAACATCAGCAATGAAACATCTTAGAAATTTTAGCACTACCCATCTAAATAAATCTTAGATCAAAGAATTCAGAGATATCTAGACATCAGAAACAATGAGAACATTACATATGTATCCTTTAGGATACATACAAGACTGGGATCAGAGGAAGATTTTAGGGTCAAATACTTCAATTAAACAATGAGAGCTTTAAATTAAATGAGAACTAAGATCTTGGCTTAAGCCAAAGAGAGAAAAAGTAAACCAAAATACAAGATTTAGGGAAGAGTAGGAATTAAGGAACAAAACAAAAATTGGCATACCTGATAAATAAAACCAGTGGTGATTTGAAGAGGCCAATAAAATAGACAAAACTCTGGCATATCTGGCCATGTAGGTTAGTATATAAAATCACTTTTTTGTCAGTCATTACTATTTAGGGAATGTAGTATCTTAACAGACAAAATTTAGTGCTACTGAAGAATGTAACAGACTTGAATAAATGAAGACCTAACATGTTTATTGACTAGGAAAACTAAGTGCTTTACAGAACTCACTGTCCTTTAATTTCTTAATCTAGAGCAATTTCTTCAAAATCCCCCAAAGCTGCTTTTTCTAGCTTCACAAAACTGATCTTTAAGTTTATCCAGAAGACTATACGCAAGATGAGTCAATCACGTTGTTAGTGTACAGTAAGGATGATTTTAACCAGATATCAAAATTTACTATAAAGCTATGTGTATTATTAGTGTGTGATAACTGGTTAAATAGCCATAGAAAACTTAATGGCTTCAAACATCTATTCGGTAGTTTAAGCTCTGTTGGTCAGAAGTCTGCCAGCTCTGTGTGGGTTTTGTGCTCAGGATTTTCCAAGCATGAAATCAAGGTGTAAGCTGGCTGAATCTAGAGTATCCAGGGGAAAATTTGCCTCCAAGGCCATAGGCAGAACTGAGTTCCTTGTGTATGTAGGACTGAGGTCCCTGTTTCCCTGCTGGTTGCTGGCCAGGGGTCACTCTCGGCTGCTCCTTTGCCACATCACCCTTCATCTTCAGTAAAGGAGACTCTCCCTCCAGTCAGATCCTTCTCATACTTCAAATATCTTACTGCTTTTGCCATGAGCTAAAGAAGACTATAGGGCATTTAAAGCTCTTTAAAGGGTTCATATGGTTAAGTTTAGTGCCACCTCTTTCTTAAAACCAGCTGTGCCATCTAATAATAATAATCATGGAGGTAAAATCTGTCCTCTTCAGTTAAGAGAATTAGGGTGGGAAATCTCAGGGGCCATCTAAGAATTCTGCCTACCACATTAGGGTAATAAGTGTGGTCCTGTACCAGAATACATAAGCATACCACAAGAGAAACAGGACCATTTCTAGTATTGCAATGTAGTGTAGGCTAAGATAGGTCTTTACATCCTCACATCCAGAAAATATGGATTAATTAATAACTTGGGGACATATGAATAGAAATTTTTTTTCCCTAAATTGATAAAGTCACATATCAATTCCAGGTAAACTGAAATTTTATATGTAAAGAAAAGTAATCTTATTTTCTTCCAGTAGTTTTATCTTATAATCTTGGGACAGAAGTGCCTTTATAAAAACACTTAAAAGAAGTGATAACAAAAAAACATTTCTGAACAGCAGATGATAAAATATAAATGACAAATTAAAAAAACTGAACATGAATAGAAAAAAAGCATTATCATCCTTAATACGTAGGAAGCTCCATGAAAAAGAGTAACAAAAAAAATTCCATAAGAATGATCAAAGGACATGAAGAGAAATTAAAACCAATGCATAGACAATAAACATTCAAAACTGGTTCACACTAGTAACCAAATAAATTACAGTGTAATAGCATTTTCACCTATCAGTCAAACATTAAAGTAATTGGTAATTCTCCATGTTGCAAAGTTGTCAACCATACAATGCTAATAGGATTGTAAACTAGTACCACTTTCCTGGAAGATAATCAATCTATATCAAAAAGCAAAATTATTTATTCCCTTTTATACAGCAGTTGCATTTCTAGGACTGTATCAGTCAAATAATGAGGTTATGTACATGTATGCTCAATGTATGTTTAATAAGAAGGAAAATATATAAACAACCTAAGCATTCACGATTAGGAAATAAAACAAATTATCTATACACTAAAATTCTGCAGACATCAAAAATATGTACACTTCTATATATTAATATGGAAGCAATCTATACCAAATGAAAGTAGGTCCAAAGAGTGAATAGGTTGATTCCCTTTATGTTTCAAAATATTTTAAAATCCCTTTAAAAACAATAACTACACACAGAACTGACCGTAGTTATTTCTGGAATACAGAATCACCCATGGGGGTGGGTTTCAAGGGGGAGGGATGAGGAAGTTAGATCAGTGATTGGGAGGGTAGGGAGATACTCTTGAACTTTTACAGTAATGAATATGTATTAATTTTGTAACAAAAATGTCTTTTTTAGAAGAGAAATGTCCAAAGATGATCCTCGTGCTGAATGTATAAGAAAGTGAGTAACTCAATTTCTACCATTTCCATCTAAGTTATCAGTGACATCATGATGGAATAAAAATATTGAAAACCACATCATGTATAGACAAAGCACTTAATGCATTTACGAGATGTGTGAGTTAAGTATCATATCAGAGGCAAAGTGATACCATGTAAAGTGTGCTTTTCATTTCATCAATTTATAAGTAACTGTTGATGCTATCACTGTACAAAGGGCCCATTGCTAAATAGTGTACATTAAGGCAGAATCCCAGCCCTCAAGGTAACATCATTTGGTCAAGATAAAGTTGATCAACACACAAGCTGCTTAAACAGGTGAACAGCTGGAAACAGTAATGCAGAGTGCTGTAAGAAAAAACCGACTAAAAACAATTATGATTACAAACCATACAAAGCCCATGTTAGCCTGGAAAACCTTATGTAGAAGGTAGAGTGAGGTTTGCTGCATTAGATACTTCTCAGGCCTCTGCTAGCTCTCCCCATGGAATGCCACGCCTCCTGCCCTTCTCCATACATCAGAATGCTGCTGGTCCAGCAACCAGCTTAAGCATTACTCCCTGCCTCAGTGTGCAAGACTGGAATTACTCAGCTGTTTCCACACTTGGTTCACACCTTTCATACTTACCACTGAGTTACACTCTGCTGTGTATCTCACAGACAAAACTTTAACTGCTTTGAAAACAAAAAAACGTTTCAAACATCAGTTTATTTCCAATGATTAATCAGGTGCTTTGCAAAGTTGATGAATAATATGAACTGAAGAGAAGTTAAGGGGTCTAGGCTAGAGGATTTTAATGAGCAAATTCTGAGATAGATAGAAAAGGAAAAACCTAGATTAGCACAGCATGTGAGAAATGTTGTTGAAAAATATATGGAAGATAACATCATTAGAAGTTTCTGTACCAGGTAAAAACAAGTCACTGTATTCTAGGCAAGGCAAAAGACCAGATCTGCCTTTTCAAAGCTACTGACATTATGAAAAACCATGAATAAATCTAATTTCAAGTTCAGCATGCTTCTTTCTTCAAAGATGCAAATTATTTTAAAATACAGTATGATTGACAGAAGCAGCAACTGAAGCAAAATAAAAGTAACATGTGGGAATTTGCTTATTTTGCTGAACTGCAATGTATTTTTCAAAGAAGAGCATTAATTTGAAAGCTTCCTCGGTATTTACCAGGAGAGATTTAGAACTGTTTGACGAAAATTAATTTTTCATAAGTCAGATGTGATTATAATTATTCAAATTTTAAATTTTTATAAAACATTTTCTGGTTATGGCACTATCTTAAACTCTGAGAATATAATATAGCTTGTTCTAAAATCTTTTTCAAGTCATCCTTCCTTTAAACCAGTGCTGTCCAAAAGATAATGTGGGCCTCATATGAAACTTGAAGGAAAAAAAAAAAAAAAGGAAAAAAAAAGCTGAATTAATTTTTAACATTTTATTTACCCCTCTATGCCAAAAATATTCTCTCACCAATATACAAAAATTGAGATATTTTTACATTCATTCTTTGTACATCTTCAGTCTGATGTATTTTATACTGATACCATATCTCAATTTGGACTTAGCCACATTTCAAGGGCTAAATAGCCAAATGAAACTAAATTATATGTAAAGACCAACTGGCCTGCACATGTCTATTGTCTTGTATATCTGCTTGTAAACAGACACTGTGACTGACAGCCACTCTCCAAATTCTATATTCTGTCATCATAGATGTGCATCAAGATATACTACTAGCAGAATTTAAGACCAGTACTATGTCTGATACTAGATAAATGGCAATAAAAATGGATGCCACATGGAATATTCATTCATCTGTTTACAGATTCTAACACAACTAACAGTAAGTAGATAATCTTTTTTCTTTACAGCACTTACTGTAATTACTAATTTTTTTACTTATATTCTGTTTGTGCAATCTGTTTCTCCAATGACATTCCATTAGGGAAGGAACGACCTGTACCTTGTTTTCCATTATACCCTGGACCTTAGTAGAATGTGTTTACACATAGTAGTTGATCGAATATCTGTTAAATGGATGAACATGACCTCTCACTGAATATCAGCCTGAGCCAGCTTGTCATTTCATTGTTTTCCAATAGTTAAGATATTCCACATTTTCTTACTGAAAGCAGTGAACAGCCATTTTCTCTTCATAACAGTTTCTAGTAGCTTAACTCAATTATTAAAAATTGGGAAATTCTCCACTAGTAAGTATCATACTTATCCTGTCTTCGTCAGACTCTCCTCCTCCAACACAACAAAAGCAGAGTGGTTGAGGCACAAATGAACAAGTATAAGAGAACAGCCTCTCCATCAGCCTCTTAGAGAAAAAGGAAAACACATGCACCTAGAAGGAAAAAATAGTGAATATTGTTTCCTACCACAGTCAGTAGTGGCAAGGTTCTTATAAGCTCTGGAAACTTCAGAAACCCTCTGGCAAACCATTCTAAGTTCCACGAGAGAACTACTGTAGCAGCCATGAAAAAAGAAATCCTAAAACTGGTAAACGCCTTGAATTTTAAACAAAGTAAAATAAAATAGGCATGTAATACCACAACTAAATGCTAAACCTGTTTAAAAAAACAAAAACCCAAGTTCAAAATACATTCGTTATGACGTGAACTAACACTGTATGATCAAGTCCTGCTAGCCTTGAGCCTGTAGAAATCATTTTACTTAGCAATCATTTATGAAAGAGCTCTTGCTTTTATTCTGTATACAATAAAATGGTACTTTTAATACTGGTATTTCCCAAATGATCAGTTTTATAATTTTAGCACCAAAAACTCAACTCCTAATCAAATGTTTCCTGTTTTGCAAACTACTGGAATATAAAAATTTCATATAATTTAAACATTTAGTCATCTATTGTATGTAAATCACTCTTTTAAAAACCAAATCATATTTAAAATGCACTAGAGAAAATTACTTTTCCCTTTTCTTCTTAGGTACATGTTCCAAAAGTGGTGTAAATTCAGCCTCCTCACTGTGCTTTCTTTTCTTTTTTTCTTTTTACGGTCGCTTTGGTAACCACTGGAGTCACTGCCTTGGAAAAGAGGGTCCTGGTCCTGATCTTCCTGGTGCTTTTTCTTCTTCTTTTTCTTCTTTGGCTTTTCCTCCAGGAGGCCATTCACATTGTTATTCATCTGCATGTCTCTCTCCATGGTAACATCTGCAAAATCTGCTAGCTCTGTGGTACCACCTTCCACTTCATATGGTTCTGGGTCTTCCTTCTTTTTCTTTTTCTTCTTTGGAGGTTTTTCAACAGCTTCTTCAGTGCCAGTTTCTGTTACTTCTTCAGAAACTGCAGAGCGCTTGGTTTGTAAACTATGAATTAACAATTTAAAACATTTGCAGAACATTAAGCAAAAATTTAAAAAAATAAGATCAAGAATATTCCAATGTGCTATTAATTTTCTAAATAATGACAGTGGTACAAGATGATATAACTCATAAGTTTCAAATATTCTACCCTATTAGCCCTCAGCACACTGAAATGTCTTGGAAATGTTAAACTTTGTTTCCCAAGTACTTCTCCCACTGTTACACACAAAAATGACATAAATTTTGTCAAAGTATGGCTTCTAAATTTTAGTTTAATGTTCAGTGTTTTCTGAACCAAAGATCACCACACCCAGGCTTATTAGTCAAACCGCTAACATTCGATAGAGAAAAATATACTTCTGGTATTTATCAAAGTAATGGCATTCCTTGTCTATTATCTTAATTCTTGTTTTAAGTAATAGTACATTGTTCTTAACCAATGCTGAAGCAGTATTAGTTCAAAGTTAATTATTTTGTATCACTAAAATAAAAACAAGGATCAATGTAGTAGCCCTCTCTCTATAGAAGCGCAGTCCAATACAGTAACACTAGCCATGTGTAACTTTTTTAATTTATTTCAGTAAGATAACTTTAAAAATTCAGTTCATTTTAATTGCGCCATAGTGAGGCTACTATATTGCACAAATATGGCACATTTCTATCATCACAGAAAGTTCTACTGGACAGTTGCTCTAGAACTTTAACCCATACTCTTGTTACTTAACAAGGCAGAATCTGGAAAAAGTTGTTAACACAGGAAGTACTCCAAGAGTTTTTTTTCCTACCCTGCCATTAAACTTGGCTCCCATGAATCTAGGCTTAAGATCAGAAATCCTTAGAAGAATTTCAGACCAGAAAAATACAGAAATTAAATGATCTACCTGGTCCAGTGACAGTGACCAAACTGTTTTTGTTTCAACTGTATAAAAATAAAAGCAGACTAATAGTTATGCAAAATGACTCAGCTGTTAGTTTCAAGCTCAGGGATCAACTTTCTAAAAAATAAACAAACAATACTCAGAAGAAGTAAGTTATTAAAATACATAGCAGTTAGCTAAATGTAGAGCTTTAGAGTATTTAATGCACTGTCATTATTACACTTAGACGATTCCTACTTACACTGACTTTATAGTTTGAAGTACAAATGGACTAATTAAATTATTTTTAAAAGAGGGACTTATGTTCCCTAAATTCAGAATTAAGTAAAAATGATTATCAAAATGATAATAGTGTGTCTAGGAACTGACCTAGTGATACTTAGTTTTCCCCGAATGCAGAATACTCCAGCAGCGTCTGAATCTAAACGAAATACTTCAAATTCAAGTTCATCACCCACGTTTATCTCCAGAGTCTGCCACTGCTCAGGTGCCATCTGCTCAGGTTTAGGGATGGAGGCATTGAAGCACCCATGTACCAAACAGCCAATGTGGCTGGAAGATACTTTATTAACTGTACCCTGAGAAGAAGGAAAAAAGAATGTTTCATCAAGAAGAGAGCCAGAGTTAAAAGGTGAATCAAACTCAAAGAGAAAATACCAAAATAATGAAATAATTTACTTTAGAAAAAGTTTCTCAAAACCTACCATTAAAACATCACTAAGAATACTAAGATTTTAAAAACCTCACACCTTATTAAATAAGAATTGCATATCAATTGCCTAACTGGATAAACAACTACCTTGTTCCCTCTCCCTAGCTAAAAAAAGAAAACCCAAGACCCCTACCTTAGCAGCCACTGGAGGATTCCCTGGGAAGGGGGTTACTCTATAACCATATTGAAACCAAGGAGCAAATACTCTGATATGACCTACATGTGAAGAGACCTCAAGGCAAGAAGCATATGCTTTTTGTAACTAGGATTCACTTTTTTTTTTCTATAAAGTCTGAATTTCAACACTTAAAGAGCATTCTTTAATAATTAGACTTAGCATAATGGAAGCAGTCCTATTAAAGAACAGCTTACCTTTATACGTAAATCTTGAGCATGGCTATTTTGACTAAACTACAATATTATTAGAAGCTTTAAAACTAAAATGTAAGTATGTGTTATATGGTGTTAAGTTTAAAATGAAAATTTCCAAGAATCTTAGTTTTCCATTCTTCCCCTAGGAATCAACATGTAAGGTGTATCAATGAAAATCTGAAAAATTTTTTTAAATCACATATTTTGAATTATAGAACTATAAATAATACTAGCATGTATACAATGCTGTTTAATGCCAGCAACTCCTACATGTGACATACTAAAACTTCTTTGTCATTATCAGGAATCTGGAGTCTCCAACGTTATCTGCTGGATGGTCTGAACAACCTGGTATATCTATACAATGGAATATTATTCAGCAATAAAAATAAACAAGCTACCAAGCCATGAAAAGATATGGAAGAACCTTAAAAACATATTGCTGAGGGAAAGAAAACAATCTGAAAAGGTTACATACTGTATGATTTCAATATATGACATTCTGGAAAAGATAAAACTATGGAGACAAAAAACAAAAACACAGTAGTTGCCATGGTTTCCAGGGAAGGGAGGAAGTGATGAATAGGTAGAACACAGGATTTTTAGAGCAGTGACCAATTTTTCCATAGGATACTGTAATGTTGGATACATGTCTTTATACGTTAAAACCCACAGACTGTGCAAAGAGTAAACTCTAAACAATGTATTAATTAATTGGCTCAACTATAACAAATGTAAATTTGTATGTATGTGTCAATAAATGGAAAAACAGTGTATGTATGTGGGATTTTTTTGTGGGGAAGTGAAGTGAGGTATATAAAAACACTACTTTCCACTTAATTTTTCTGTATGTCTAAAATTGTCACAAAGATAAACTTTAGCAATTAAAAACATACTCAGTGGGAAAAGTCTTTTCAAAGTATGGGTTTAGAACAATGAATATGGACAAGAAAATGGACCTCAAGGGCCTACCTCACACTACGCACAAAAAACTAAGATTGATCACAGACCTAAACAGAAAGCTAGAACTATAAAAATTCTGGAATTTTAAATAAGTATCTTAAAAACTGAGGGGTACGCAAGTTTCTTAGGATCCAGTAAGCAATAACCACAGAAGTACAATATGACACACTGCACTGCATCAAATTTAAAAGCTTCTGTTTATCCAATGATACCATTAAAAGATACAGACTGGGAAAAAAATATTGACATTTAACTGAAAAGGATTTGTATTGTAACTGTAAAAAGAATTATTATACTTCAATAACAACACTAACACCCAGTTAAAAGGGGACAAACTACTTGAACAGGCCCTTCTGACTGAAACACAGGAAAAAGGACTATTGAGAAAAATACAAATTAAAACCATAATGAAAAACAACCATATGCCCATCAGTAAAATCAACAGACTGGTACACCAGATGTTGGCAAAGATGCAGAGCAACTTGTTAAGTATTAAAAAGAGAAATTAGCTAACAGTTTTCCACAAAGTTAAACACACATTTACCCTGTGACCTAGCAGTACTGCTTCTAGTTTTCACTTAGGAGAAATGAAAATATATGTTCACAAGAGCTTTATTCATAATAGTTCCTGATTAGAAACCCAAATGTCCACTGATGAAGATGGATAATCAAACCATAATATAGTCATAGAACTGAATATGACCAACAATTACAAGGCAAAAATTACCAATATACATAATACCATGTATGGAACTCAAAAATACGCTAAGTAAAAGGCGCCAGATGGTAACAGTGTATAATGAAAAACTGCACTACCACAGAATTATAGAACGAGCAAAATTAATTTATGATACTGAAATCGTAATAATGGTTGTACCTAGCATAGAGAGAGGATTGACCAGGAAAGGACATGAGGATCACTTCTAAGGAGACAGAATGCTGTATGTATATGCGCTTGCCAAAATTCACTGAACTGCATACCATATCTGTGCATTTTGCTGCACGTAGATTAAATCTCATTTTATTGTATGAAGATTATATTGTGTTAATTAAATACAAATTAAAAAAATGGCTCAAATGTATTTGAGGACTGGATCTTATTAAAGGGGTAGAGTAAAAGGAATAATTTAAGTTTTCATTTCACACTTCCTATACAATTTGAATGTTATTTCTATGCACGTTTATGATGAAAGTGATGAAAGGGAAAAGCCTACAACCAAGAACTCTATTCAGAAAGGCTCTCATTCATATTTGACATAGCAATCAAAAGCTTTACAGACAAGCAAACGCTAAAATAATTTAATCAGCAACACCCAATCAGCTTTACAACAAATGTTAAAGGAAGTTCTCTGGTGAAAAAGAAAAGGCCACAACTAGAGCAAGAAAATTATGAAATGAGAGGGAGAGAATCAAGACAGTAGGACACAGCTCATCTCATGCCACAGATACATCAAAAATATATCTACATGTGGAAAAACTCACAGAATACCACCTACTGATGTTAGCAGAAGATCTCATATAATCAAAGCTACAAGAAAGATCACCATGTAACCAGGTTGGACAAAAGGAGACAACAAACAAGAAAAGGAATTGGAACTAGACCTGTGCACCTCGGAGGAAGCTGTGAAAGAGGAAATTTCCTCACCCTGGGAGCTCCCTTCAAGGCTGGAAGATCAGCCAGGACAGAAAGGGAGCTTCAGAGCCTCAGAGAATGTAGCAACTAGCTTGCAGCAGGCAGAACAGAGAAAGACCAGCAAAGAGTCCTGGCCACCTCCTTACACTCCCCAGCCTGAGTCATGCATCTGCTGGTGTGTGCAGGGGCTGGGTGCTGGAACTTGGGCTTCAAAGGACAGACCTGGTGAGAAGACTGTTGTTGGTAGCATGTGACAGCCTGAATGGGCTGCAGTGTGGTCTGAGCCGCAACCAGGGCTTTTCGAACACAACAACAGAGAGAGATCTGGGCTGACTGCCAGCATTCCCACAGCAGAGGTAGGGCCGAGGTCAAGGCCAACAACAGTGTACTTTGTGAATGCACAAAACAGGCAACACCAGAGTGCACTTTCTAGTGCAGAGTCCCTGCACTCACTGCACTGTGCACTCAATGCACAGGAATACTCACTGGCTCCATTCCTGGAGGAAGTGCTCCCTTCAACCTCACACTGGCAGCTCAGGAACAGACTTGGAGGCTTCTACTCCAACAACTGGGGAGCAGACCCTGGCCCCCAGCTGGGCTGTGACAACCACAGAGCAGAGGAGATCCCTCTCAACACCTGGTACAGGCTCTGGTCACTACAATACCAATCACACGCCCATCCCAGCACGCTGAAGAAAGATGTGGCAAAGACCCATAATAAAAACAGCCTTTGCACAAAAATGTTAGACTCACACAGGCTACACGGGGACACTCCCACATAAAAAAGCCCTTCAAGACCAGAGTAGATGTTTCTCCTGAATCCATAGAGTCCAAGAAATAAAGTAAAACGAAGAAGCAGAGGAACCACTCCCAATTAAAAGAACAAGAGAAATCTCGGAAAGAACAATTAATGAAACATCTCTCCATTCTACTAGTTTCCAAATTCAAAAAAGACCTAAGGGAAATAGTGAAGAAGTTAAGAAAAGCTATTGATAGAAATGAATATCACTGTAATAAGAACTAGAAATTACAGGGAGTGGGGGAAGAGAGAAGATGGTGGAGTAGAAGGACCCTCTCCCACAAATGCACCAAGACTCACATCCACAGACCCACTCAGCCAACCAGAGCACCTGCAAAACTCCGACAGAACATCGCCCTCTTCAAAAGATAGAGATGCCAAGAATCTGGTAGGAGACAAGGAAAAAAGAAAGAAAAGACAAAGCAGAGCGGGAGGGGTCCCGCAGGGAGGGAGTGGCAAAGGAGAACTGGCGCTCATTCGCTGGGTCTCCCCTTTCCAACTGAGAGGCCAGCGGGATGGAGGGGGAGTCTCCAAGGCTCGGATCTGTACAGACCAGCCCTTGACTGACAGAACTAAGTTAAATGGGCACAGAGGGTACCTGCAACACCCAGCCCAAGACGCGGGCCGGCAGCTGGGGGCAGGGCCAGGCTGCCCAAGCCAAGCGGAGGACGGGGGCGGCTGCACAGAGGCAGCCCCAGGGGACTGCAGGGGGCTGCGCGCCGCGGCTGTGGTGCACAGGGCAGAACAACCTGGGCCCTCCATAAAACAGCAAGGTTGATGTGCCCTGGGGGGAAGGGTGCATACCTCCATCTCTGAAAACCCGCATAAAGTTTTGGCAAAAGGCAGGCGGGGCTCAGGCACAGCCACCATATCCTCTGGTGCTTAGCGCCCAGGCAGGGGCGGGGACAAAACCTACCTCCGCACCTAAGGGCTTAGCAGCCTCAAAGTCCAGACGAGACTTGTCTACAGCCCAAGGCAGACAGGACCCTTCCATCCTGGTCCCTCAGAGAACTTGCTCTGCCAAGACAAACAAGGAGCAGGGACAAGGCTGTTCCTCTGTCTTCCTTGAGCCCACATGCGGAGCGCCAACCCGAGGCGG